GCACTGACGTTCTTGTAGAGCATTGTCACCGTAAACTTTATGCAACTTTTCACAAGCTTGACATGCCTTCTTCCCTTTATGGAAGTAAAACAGTAAAATATGGCAAAAATGCACAGTTTGGTCTTCCATCTTCAACTTGTTGTAAAATCTCCCAAATTCAACCAAATCGCTTAATTTTTCTTTAGAATGAAGCTAGAACTGTCAAATGACATAGCAATAACATAGATGCGAATGACTCTAGTACTTCCAAAAATGAACTAGTGCCATCTATCGCAAACATGCATCATGGCTTTTCTGACAACCCTATATGTCCCTGTTCACCTAATAGGCATACTGTCCCCAAAACCGAAATCTTCATCTTCCCTACTCCCAAATCTCCATTCACAGTCTCAGTTAATGGAAGTTCCATCTTTCCAACTGCTCAGGACAAAATTTTTAAGGTTCATCCATGGCTCCTCTTATTCTCATAACCTACGTCGAATCCTTCAGATCATTGTTTTACCCAAAATATGACCTCTTCTCTACACTCTCTCTCTCTCTCTCTCTCTTTGGTCCAAGCCACCAACATATCTCACTTGGATTACAATTGATTTCACTTTCTTCCTCCCCTCACTCCCAGTCTGTGATCTTCACAGAAGCCAGAATGATCCTTTTAAAATACACCCAATCACATCACTCCTCTGCTCCAACCCCTCAGGGGCTCCCCATCACACTTGGCCAAAGACCTTCAAGGCCCATAGCCTGGCACTCGCCCCCTCCATTGCTTTATCCCTCGCTCACTCTGCTTCAGGCCCACTGGAGCTCAACCATTCCCTCACATTAAGGCCTTTGCTCTTCCAGCCACTTCCTCAAACCTATATTTTCATTTAAAGCCACATAAACAATTGATTATTAACAATGATTCTAAAGAGGCTTGAAGAGCAAGTGCAATCTGGCCTTCAGATTCAGAGCTAAACTTGAATCCCTGCTCCACAGCTTAAACTACCAGCTCTGAGACCTGGAGCCTGAAGCTGTTTCCATTTAAGAACAATGGAAACCATGACACAGACCACTCTCATTACTGAAAGGATTAAATGTAATAAGTGTGCGAAATTTCTCAGCACAGTGCCTAACATATAATAATAATAATATGTTGTTCACTAAATGTTAGAAGGTCCATCTACCTTTTCTCCTTCCTCCTTGATTACAGGAAGAGTTACTTGCTCTGCCTGGTGAAGGCTGAGCAGGGTTGGAAAAGGAGTTACTTTATTTACATGCCAATCAGTTTGTGGTAGATGCCTGGAGCACTGGGTTGAGAAGGGTTTGTCAGCCATGTCCAGATTCAGCTAGAGCGTGTGTGATGATGACATTTACCTCAGCGTTGGAGGGGAGAATGGTGGCATCTGAGCAGAATCTACCATCCTGGATTTGATGGTTTACCCTACTGCCTCAGACAAGAACTCTCTACTTCTCAAAATGCTCATTTTATTTTTCTAGCATAACTGTGAGAGGAGCTATGTTACAACAGCATCGACTGTAGAATTATTTCTGAGGTTAAGAAAAGGTTCAGGGATGAGTGTCCCTGATGGCAATGACTCACCTCCCCAGAGGCCGGGCAGTTCCTATCCAGGCTAGTCCTAGGACAGCCTGTTAAGTCTTAGCAGTGCCCCAACTGATCCTGAGGTTTTGGCCCAGTGGGAGATTTAGGTCACAGCTCTTTCCGCTAGCAGCCCCTCCTGCCTCACACCACATCCACCACCACTAGAGGCCTGACTTCCATACTGGCCCCAGAGAGGGGTTCCTCTGGAATGAGGGTGACTCCTGACAGAGCCAGGCATCCGGAATCATAGTAACCACAGCCCATCCCACATTCCTAAGACTAGACCTCCTACCCAGAGGCTAATCCAGAATAAGAGTATCTGATCCAACCGCATTATTTCCTGGTATAACTTTGAGTTTCAAGCACAAGAGGCAAAAATACATAGGGGCGGAAGGTCTGGCCTCTTTTTTTTAAAGTCACACTAGCACTGGAAGCAAGCAGAGGAATCAGAATTTTATGCAAAAATGCTCTGTTGGCATTTGGGAAAATTCATGTGAAGCCAAAGCTTAGAGGGCAAGAGGGAGCCAAGGAATTAAGATCTCTTAGAAAAAGCAGGAAATATCGCCCAACAAGACTTCACCATGTACTGGTAAGTTTGTGTAAACTTGGTGCTTGAGGTAAACCAAATAATTAATGGCTACGAAACCACCACTCAACCATTCACATGGCCCAAGATCCTAAAAGTACAGACATCTGGTAAGGAATATTTTAGCAAGTGGTCTTCATATCACTTCTAAATTCATATCTATAAACCTCTGGAATTAAAGTATACACTTGACATTCCACCGGGACAAACAGTCACAATCCTATGGACTCATGGACCTATAAGAACAATGCTGAATTGTGTTTAACTTTTTCTAAGATTTTGTTACTGTGGTTCAGGTCAATCTTTTAATATTTAGAAAGATTTATTCTCAAATAGACAAAGTGAGCTATATAATCAGCAGGCTATTGATATTTTAACTTTTTACCATTTTTCACTAGGCTATCGCAAATATTTTCCCCTATAAATATTCATTAAGAATAAAGAAGCAAGTTTATTTTGAGAAATATAGCCAACATTCTCAACAGCCACAAACCATCTCTGCATACAATCCAATCTGGCAGCTGTACCAATCCTTTAGGGTAAAGGTAAAAGACCCATAGCTGGCTGCATCAAGCTTCCTAAATGTCTCTGAAATTGTGGCCCATGTAGAAATCTGCATGAACTTAAATATCTGTGTCTGATTGCACAAGGTTTAGGTTATACATGTATGTAGCAAACTTTTCCTGATCCAATTTTTCAATTTTTTCCTAGATCAGGGTTCAGTGGACGGGGGCATATTCGTAGTGTAGGAATATAGGCTGGGCAGCCATGTTGGAGAACTCCATATGTGAATGGAGCATTTAGTCCGTGCCACAGTTAGTGTCTGATCTCAGGGAAGGTCAAAGGCAGGCTCCCTCAAAGTTCTGCCAAACTCATCTCATCACATTGTGCTCAGAGTGGTCTTGTTCACCTTCAGGATGGAGTTCTTGACACTGTCAATCACTTCTTCACCTGCACAGGTTTGTTTGGCTGCCACTTTCACATTTGAGCCTACTTTCTAGAAGAAAATGATAAGTTTTCAAATTGCAACTTCATTATCACATATTCCAGGTGTTTCATGTAGACTAAATGAAAATAAAATTATATAAATCATATGCAGTCACAGGTGTCTTCAAATGCTTCAGAGTGGCACTGATCATAAGCAATTCAACTTTTGCACTGCTAATTTAATCTCAACTAAATGATCCCTGGTTACCTAAACCATATCTAATCTCTTCAGGCTATTCACCAATATGTAGTTCTCTACCTCCTGGCGCATGGTAGGATTATACTTCTGACCCTGTTGAACCCAGCATGGGTATGTGACTTGCTTTCGCCCATGAATGAGGGCAGGACTGTCACTTCCAGAAGGAAACTTTAAGAGCCAATGTCACCTCACCACATTAATTTCTTCCTCTGCCACAGTGATCCCCGATGCTCAACGTGGTTGCTCCACCAGCGTAGATCTCTGAATGAAGGTGACAAAATACACAATACAGATACAATGTGACCAAGAAATACACATGCTATTCTAAGTCACTGAGCTTTGGGAGGTGTTACAACATTACCTCCTACTAGATATATCACAACCTGACTGAAACATCAACCTGTTATAGGAAAGAAATATTGGGACACTAAGCACTGTGGTAAATGTTACCATAATTCAAAACAGAAGAAATCTAGGGCTATATTATACAGTAGCATATAAATATATGGATACACACACACACACACACATACATGTATATTACTGATAGTCACTTATTAAAATAGAGTTCTCTCCCACCTTCTCCAAAAATAAAAAATAAAAAGCCCTCCTCACATCAACTGGATAATCTGAATTCTTTTTTGGGGGGGGCGGGGGGTCTGGGAATCAAACCACTGTTGCTCAGAGCTCACACTCAACCAACTGAGTCACTCGGCTGGCCCTTTGGATAATCTGAATTCTTAAAAATCACTGCTCAGAAATCTCAAAGAAACAGAGCACTCCTTCATCAAAAAGGGACTTGACCCATTGTCAAAGTCATTTGCAGAGTTCCACTTCTTTTCTAAGACCAAGTACACTCATTAAATGCAGAGCTTCAAAGGGGCTTCATTCTGAGTGACCCAACAGACAAATAAATTAGCTGCCAGGGGCTCCTTTGTAATTGAAGAGGGCCAGGCTGACCCAAGGGGACAGGACTAAATAAAAAAGGGAACCGTCCAAGTGAAAGCAGCATTTGGGGACCTAAAACAAATAAAGCCATCCCACACACTCATTTCCAAGAGTAAGAGTGAGCCAAGCACATGTGTGTTTATTCACTAAGAAGAAGATGCAAATATTCCACATCGGATTGATTTCTTATGTGCTACAACCATAAAAATGTGTGTGCCTGGAATATGTGTTTCAGTGTTGTGCTCAACGGTGGCAACTTATAAACGTGATCATAGATATTACATGTACAATCTACAAAAATGCTCCCCTTTGAAACACTGTAACTCTGGAAGGTTTTCTTCTTTATTGTAGGGACGAATTGCTTAAGGTTTTCACTTAAGTATGTGAAGAACTACCCATTTTTAATTTGCAGAGCTTTTAACTGGTGACTCAGCGAGGGATGATGTCATATGTTATCCTACCACGGCTGGTGTGGTTTGCTCTGCTCACTTAAACCATTCCCGTTTCTCTGGCAGACAGCACTCCCCAGTCTCCATCCTTTCGTCAGCCTCTTCCCAGCCAGCCACAGGCAAACAGCCTCCCCGGCAGCGGACGGAACAGGAAGCCTGACAGCTTGCGTCTGCAGTGGGACCCCTAGTGTTTTCCCACTCCATGCTCTGGCAGCGTTCCCCAGAAGTACAAACACACACACACAGAGCTCCCATTGTTGCAGCCTTCCCCAGCCCACTGATCCTAATATGGAATGCAGCAGGAAACCCATGATTTCCTGACACTCGGCAAGCTGGAGGAAGCAAGGGGAAAACTCCATTAAAAAGCCCAGCTTCCCTCCATGTTAGATGTGAAGTGGGAAATGGGGAAGATTCGGCAAACTTCCACTGTGTCTTCAGTCAGGCTGGAAAGGGGGAGAGCAGAGTGAAACCCTGAAGCCTGTTGAAATTTCCAGACTGGCAGGAAGCCCCTAGAAGTTGGTGGAAATGAGGGTTTCTTAACTCAAACTGGCAGGGGAAAGGGACAGACCCTTTGAATAATTCTCACAAGCGTGTGTTACCTTTCTTTACCAGTATGCTAAGCCAGGGGGCACATGCCAGCTGCCACGGACGAATCTGTATGATCCCAGGTACCCAAAGTAAGGCAAAGTGATCTGCCGCCTGCCGCGGGCTGCCCGCCTTCCATGGGCTCGGGGAGAAGCAGGAGAAACCACAGCAGCAGCTCAGTCACCACAGCTGGAGCCACAAGAATGAACTGCAAGGAGGGAAACGACAGCAGCTGCAGCTGCGGGGGCAACCAGGAGGAGAAGAAGATGCTGAAGTGTGTGGTGGTGGGGGACGGCGCCGTGGGGAAAACCTGCCTGCTGATGAGCTACGCCAACGACGCCTTCCCAGAGGAGTACGTGCCCACTGTGTTTGACCACTACGCAGGTAAGAAAAGGCGGCAAGCCTGCCCCTGCGTACGGGATGAAGGATGCGGGGGCGACACCCCAACTTCACAGGGGCCTGCCTGATGTCTAACGTCAGCTATTGGGTAGGGGCCTGGACCTAGCCGGGTGGCTTAGCCTAACATTCAGCCAAGGGCTTTGAGGAATTACTGGAACAGTCTGTACATCAATTTGTATTATTACACTTTTCCCCCCTTAAATCAAATGAATAGCACAGAGGATATACCCTGAAATGTCCTCTAGGTTTTGGGGCCATTCGCTTCATATTCATCAACTTTTTATTGGGAACATTTTAAAATGTAGGGTAACTGTGTAATTGTACAATTCTTTTTTACCAAAAAAAAAAAATCACCACTCACCACACAACTGGTGAAAGAAGTGTTCTTGCCACTTTTCCTAAATTCATCTCGGGCCATTCATAAATGAAAATGCTAAGATTAATAAACCTTAGAACCTTCATTTTTCTATATCAGTTGGTGCTGCACTACTGTACTTTCATTTTCCTGGGGTTGTGGATGGGGGGAAAGTATTAAAAGGTTTTAAATATCTATTAGGCAACCTGTATTTTGAAGGAAAAGAAACATTTTTTACAAATATTTTTAAAAAGTAAAAATAAAGATAAAAATAAAATTTGAAACATTTTCAAGTATGTCCCAAAAGGACAAAATTGGGGATAAAATGTTTGAAAGCATGAGAGTTAAGATACTATAGTCACAACTTAATTCTTTCAGGATGAGTGTTCTAAAGTTTGTAGCGTGATAGTTGATCAGTGTGATAGCTTATCTAAGTTTTTCCACTTTGACTCTTACTTTTTCTCTTCATTTCCCAAACAAATCTTAAGTTTCTTAAAAGTAAGTTCACGAAATTCTTCAGAAGTTCACAATAGCCTAGATTTCATAACTTTTTGAACATAATGATCAGCTTGATAAGTTATCTGAGATTTGAGATTGTGTAAGAGGAAAATGTCTCTTCCGTCACCTTGGCTTCGGGTCAGATTCAGCAAAGGGGAAACGGCCCACAGGAAACCTGTGTGTGCTGGCTTTGTTATGTGGCTATTTGAAATCCTCTTTCTGCAGGAAGTAGCTTCTTTTCCACAGCTAAACAATCACCTAAGTCCCCTCCTCCCCCTGCATTTACATGATTTATGACAATATTACAGAGCAGACAAGGAGAGAATCATAGTATCCATTTCCCAGCAGGTTTTTCTATATTTGTAGAAATTAAGAGTAAATTTGAATGTTGGCTCCCTTCACTGTTCTGAAAATATAATGACTATGCCCAGAAAAGAAAAATTACAGGACAACAGAGTAAAGAGAAGAACAGGTAGACTTTTACCTTGAAAAAAACTATAACATTAGCGTGTCTGCAACTTAAGAAAGTTACTAGGCTGCTTGACCTGTAAAAGTTTTGCAAAGATTATTTATTCTACACCCCCTTTCCTACAGGAAAGGGAAACTGGCTGGTACCTAATTTCAAAAACTGTTCGATCAAATATGAAACTTAAAATCTACTTAAAGGAGAGGTTTCAAGTGCTTTTGAAAATTATGTATCCCACCCTATCTATTGGGTAAACTGATTACAGTGTAGTGTCAGAATAAAGAGAACAAAACCATCTTTAGAGGTGAAGTCAGCCTATTAAAAAAAAAATTAAAGATCAAAGGCTGAAGCACAACTAGATTCTACTAGGGTCAAATTATTTTATATTTCAATTGTGTACATGTTTATTGCTATCTAAGCATTCAAGCATCTTAAAGATATTGGCTACTCTATGATTTTAGCTGTCAAGAAATCACAGCCACTATACCCAAAGCAATACTTGGCACCTACCTAATAGGCATTCCCAAACATTGTTGCTTTGATTTACATTTTGTTACCTTTTTAAGTACACAATCTTTTCATGTGCTTTCAATTAGGTTGTAAAGGAAATAGATGGTAATGAAGTGAACACTTCCATTAGTAGAGGGTTCTCCTCCATCACAAATACTCTAGTTCTTTTTACCACCGCCCTCCCCATATATGAGCTAATAAAACATAAATCCTTACACAGTCACATGAGAATGTATAATCAATTGTAAAAAAAAAAAGAGAGAGAGAGAAAGAAAGAAAAAGAAAGAAAGCTAATGCTCTTTTCTCCACATGGAGAACTACCTAGTATCCAGTCCCTGGGTCCGATCAGCCCATTGTGAAATGACAACCTACAACTGGTTTACTGAGTCTTTAGGAAATTGTAGTTCAAGTCAAAAAGAGCCTATCCCTTAAAGATGTTTCCATAATAGCTGCCAACTCCAGGAAGGTAGAGATAGAACAGTAAGGATGGAAGACCAGCTTACTGCTCAAGATGGTGAGCTCTGAAGCCAGACAGCCCATTTCTAATACTGACTCTGCCCTTACCGTGTGGGCTTGCACAAATTACTTAAGCACCGTGGGCCTCAATTATCACAAATGGGGCGGGGGGGGGGGCGGGAACAACAAAGTTATTATTAGGATTGTTTCTGAGAACAAAATTAATTAATAACATGTAGTTCTTAGAACAATGCCTTACACACGAAAAGTACATAGTAGCTAATACTTACTATGTATAAGAATAGGGTCTCTACATTTCCACACAGCTATGAAAGAGAATTAAAATGTAATTAAAAGATAAAGACTATAGCAAGGAAAAATATAATTCCAAGAGTATCCTCCAAATGAAGTAAGATGTGATAGAGTGTGTGTATTGTCCTTATAATATTGGGTTGTCGGAAAAGTCATGATGTGTTTTTTTCTATGTTTTTCATTGCAAAAATGCATCATGACTTTTCTGACAACCCAATAGTTACCATGTATTGATAAATGAATCTCTCTGTGCTGTGAGCTCCTGAGGGAATGCGTCATGTCTTGCCACATCCATGTTCAATTCTCAGGCCTCATCTTACTTGGTCTCTTGGAGGCTTTTCTCATGATGTGTTACTCTCCTTGAAACACTTTATGAACTTAGTTTTGGAGATACTATATGCTCCTGGTTTTTATTCCCCTCACTGGCCAATCTCTCTCCATCTCCTCTGCTGCTTTCTCTATTTCTTCCCAACCGCTAAAGGTCGGCATACCTCAGTGCTCAGTCCCTTGGTTCTCTTCTCTGTGTATGCTCATGCCCTGGTTGACTGTATCTTGTCTCATGATTTTAAATAATCACTGATGACTCCCAAATTTATATCGTTACTCCCAATAACCTCCTGAAACCCAGACTCATATATCCAACTATTTGGTATCTAAACAGGCATCTCAAACTTAACCTATCCAAAACAGAACTTTTTAATTCCCCTAGTCTTCCCCATAGAAGTCCATGACCACTGTCTCCTACCCAGTTGCTCGGAACAAACACTTTGGCATTCTCCTTAACTTCTTCCTTCCTTCTCCATCTCCCTTCCTTCTCCATCCAAACCATTACTTATTATCTTTTCCTACCACCAATCAGCTCAACATTCAAAATACATCTCAAACCTGATCACTTCTCCCCACCTCCATTTCCTTTACTCTTGTCCAAGCCACCATCATTTTTCATCCAAACTACTGTAATCACCTCCAGATCCCTGCTTCTAATCTTGTCCCCTATAGTCAGTTCTCCACACAGCCAGCAGGGGGACTATCCACAGCTCCAAGTCCTCCAATCCCTTCACACTCAGAACCCACCATGTAGAATGGTCTACACGGCACTCCAAGGCTTGGTCCCTGTTTTCTCTCCAACCTCCTCTCCTAACGCTCCTCTTCAGTATTTCTGCTCGAGCCACACCAGCCATCTTGATGTGCTTCAAACACACTCATCCCCTTCCTCCCTTGAAGAGTCAGTACTTGCTCTTCCTCCAGCCTGTTGACACTGTTTCTCCAGGTCCTCCTCAGCTTCAACTGACCATGTTATTTAACGAATTCACACACATAAACACACAAACACAGAGTCACTCTTTAAGCTCTTTTTCCTTAACATTTAACACAACCTGGCATTATATTGATTTGCTTACTATTTTTATCCCACCCTGGAATTTAAACTCCATGAGAGCAAGGACTTTCTTTGTTTTGTTCACTTGTTCTATCCCCAACTTCTAAAACAGAGCCCAACATGTAACAGACTCTCAGTAGATAGTAACTGAATAAATGAATTAGTACGTTTTAATCATCTTAGTCCCTCTAGTGCTGAGATAATTCCTGGTCCATTAAAACTTTGATGAATAAATGAACAAACCGCTGGTCCAATGGGTATCTTTTTAGGAATGAATATATAAAAATATTTAATAAATGCATATTTTTGAACTACTTTGTTCACATCTTAATTATTTTATCTGTACTATAATTGCAATGTATCATTGAATTTTCTTGATCTAAGTGGTCAAGATCACATCTTTCAAATAATGTAACTCTAAATATATAAATTTCATTTGGAAATAAATGGGATGTACTCAAATACCTCCGTTTGTATTATATCCAAAAGACTGCCTAAATTTTGGGTGGCACACTCAAACACGTAAGTTATTATATAAAGAGCGTGTTCCAGAGTAGCCCCAAGTTCAACTAAGGGCTAGGACTAAAAATTGGGGGCAGTAGGATGAAGGTAGAAAGGATTTTTTATGTGTGCCTAATAGTTTTATGGGGTTTTTTATGGTTTTATGGTTTTTTTCATGCTTTTTACAAGTGCGCCTAAGAAATATCTCTGGGCCCTGCTTCTACTCGCTTCCAGATGACTCAAGATGTCCTAATTCTCTTTAGCGCTTTCACAGCTTACCATGGAACAACCGTACTTCTTCTCCCATCCTATCTTTATCCTGTTCTTTAGCTTCGAGCTTTGTAGCAGACTGATCAAGTACTATCAATTGTTTCACATGACATATGACATAGGATAACACTCACATTTTGGGTTTAGTCAGATTGTATATTAAGTTAGATTATGTCCATGGTTTGTATGTTTATATTCATAGGTGTATAAAATAAGCCCATTCAAGGTGAAACCTATGC